GGAAAAAAAAAAAAAAAAAACACCCGCGTTTCTATCTCTATGGGAGCTGGGAATCTGCCCCTTTGACTTCCGTTTCGTGAGCTCAATCGGAAGTGGGGCTTTTTTGCGTAGCGGTGTCCATGGAGATGGAAGATGGCACCTCGGCGTAAGTGGAGGGCTTGGCGGGTAACAGGGTCCCGGTGCTGTTAGGGACGACGGGGTCATGTGACGAACGAAGCGCGGCGGAATGCGGTCTGCCGGCGCTTCCAGGTTCCAAGTTCGAGCGCCCCGTCCCTGGGCAGGGAGCGATGCCAGGCGCAGGTGGTTCCCGAGTGCCTGCTGGCATCCGGCCCCGTGGCGCCAGACGCTGCCGTGGCAGGGAAGTTTGTACAGCGAGGGGAAGGGAAGGGAAGGGAAGGGGAGTCTGCCGTAAAGGAGCCAGCCAATCCGGCATCCCGAGAGCTGGGCGGGATGCGCATCTCTTGAAGCATAAGGCTGAGATGCCCCGTTTAATCAGATGCATCAAGGGAAACAGTCCTTTTAATCATCTTTCTGATGTCACAATCAGGTGGCAGGAGACTGGATTTTGGTACCCACAATTCGCAATGGAGCACGGGTTTTAATCTGTGTTTCCATTTGTAACTGTGAACATTGTGCTTGTTAAAATAATACTGAATTATCCAAGCATGGATCTGTGGTGGGTCGAATTGGCAAAGAGGAACAAAGATACCTTCCTAACAATAAAGCGGAATAGAAAAGATTGGGCTGGTAGCAAATAGACCTACTGCTTTGGAGCTCCAGATCTGAGAAACAGCAACCATTTGCACGAGTAGAAGAGAAAGACAAAACATTTTGTGCCTTTGCTTGGGTGCATACACATCACAGTTCCCCCAGCAACTGGTGTCACACTACATATGGACGTCCTTAAGCTAATCTTTAGGAATATCAATTTAAATTTAGAACTGAATAGAGATTATTATTAGGTTTGCAAGGTACGAAACTAATCTTTTCAGTGTAACATTGAGTAAGTTAATTCCATTTCTTTTGAGAAAAGATGAAAAGAAATGACAGACATGAATGTTCTGGTTGCACCCCCCTAGATCGTCAACTTTCCTCTACACCTCTGGAGATCCTGCTGTTCCTCAATGGCTGGTATTATGCCACATACTTCTTGCTGGAGATTTTCATATTTGTCTATAAAGGTGAGTCTAAGTCCCAGGAAGATAGTGGGAGGGCATACCTAGGTTCCCTCTCTGCATCAATACTTGTGGTTTTTTTTTAGGCATCTGTGACTTACCTGAAGAAAGCAAAACGTAGAAAAGTGTGAATGTGTATTTCCTTATTAATTCTCTGTCTTAACCTGTGATTAAGAATTCAGGGTCTTTGCAGAACCATTCTTCTAAGTCTCTGTAGTAGAATTATTGAAACCAAACAGTGGAAGGCTAGAGAGATTTCAGATACCCTCTCCCAGAAGCTGTCAGTGTTTCTCACCTTGGCTCCACTTCCTGCTTTGGGACAGTGGCTTGCTCCTCCCTGCTGCCATCATCTATCTTCCTGGAGGTACCTTACCTGGAAGCCTCCTCCCTAACCCTAGTGCACAAAATAGATAGAACTCCCATAACCTGTGCAGCATTTCTGGTGATTAAAGGTAAAAAAATATTTTTCTATTGCACTTTCCTGGCCATATAGTTTAGATGTCTGTGACTAGGAGTTTCAGCCCTTCTTTTCTTCTTTTTAAATATCAAGAGTGCCAACATTCAGTAATGAAGGAGATCACTTACAGAGCAGATGATTGGAAAACAGCAGCTTATTTAAGAAAAACCTAAGAGCACTACATATTTTTACAGAAAAAAACATAACGCTCTCAGCTTTTTTAAAAAAATAAAACATTAAGCTTAATGCAACATTCCTAGTTAAATGTTTTTACCTATTCTTCTGGTTCCTGAAACAGATATTCTCCCTGTTTTTATTATTCCTGGGCTTCCCACTTCCTGGAGATTCCAATAATTCAATTATTGAGGTTGCTGAGGAGAAAAACCTCAATTCTTTTTTCAGCTTTGGTCTATGGTTTCCACATATATTGCAATTTGCCCATCTCCAGCAAAGAGGGTGCAAGTCAGTTTTAACTCCTGGTGACTGCCTGGACTAGTCCCCACAGTTTTCTTGGCAGGATTTTCAGAAGTGGTTTGCCATTGCCTTCTTCCAAAACCATGCCTTGAGTAATGCTGACTGACCACCTGGCATGAGGTTGACTGGAGCATAGTGAATTCACTGCCTCTCCTGTTACATTTGATCCTTATCAATATCAAACATTTTCCTTTTTTAAAAATGCTTAATAGACGGAAGATACATCTTGCTTTCCCTTCAATTCATGTGGCTGTTTGTGTGTCTTCTTAGGTCTCTTGTTGCCCTATCCATCTGCTAATCTGGCTTTGGACCTGGTTATGCTTTTTCTCTATCTTGGAATTGAAGTCACAAGGATATTTTTTGGTAAGCATCGAAGGATAAATAGTGACACTTAGAGGAATAGCACATGCATTTGTCATTTAAATATGAGTATCTTTGATGGCATTTAAATTTACAAGCTGCTCTCTCCCCCACCCCCCACCCCCCCCACAGTTTCAGGTGGTTCACCAAATCCTCAGTAAATCAAATCTGACTCCCTGAGAACAACACATTTATGAGGTTATGACAAGTGACACTGATGCTGACAGCATTTTCCTATATTGTGCCCAGGCCTTCTTAATATTCCTACTCAACTGCAGTAATTTCCTCTAGATGTCGAGGCCGATGGACTTCCCTCCTTTAGGCGGTTTGGATTACATTCCACAGTTTAGGAGTAAGTAGGAGCCATGGCACAACCTCATATAAGGGGATGGAATTGTCAGCTTTGTTCAATCAAACTGCCCCTCTTGAACTGGGACCATAAGACATCAAATTCTGAGAATCTGTAAAGTTCAGAATCCCATTCTTTCATTTTAGAAGTGGTTATTCCTAACAAGTAAGTCATTGCCATGCCATTCAGGAGAACGTATTAGGGGTAGAAGTATGTGCAGAGGATAGGGCTATATACGCTAACCTTCAACACTCATCTGTGCCACTCCCCATCCCTTCCTCTGTTGAGCAGAAGGTCTGAAAGAGAGTCCAAATGAATGTGTTCAAATGAATATGGACTGCAATATCTGAGGCATCATTGACCCAGATAAAATCAGGGGCAGATAAAATTGTGAGGAGAGATCTAAATTCAGGTTAACATGCATAGAACTCCCTTTCAGTCCTGCTGCTCAATGCTTTCTCTATTAGCTCTTGCATGAACATCTAAATGGGTTGACCAGACTGTTTCTGACTTCTGCTGAATGGTCCATGTGCTTTGTGTCCCCTCTCTTATGTTTGGCAGGCTCCAAAGGCAATCTTTGTCAGCGGAAAGTGCCACTTGCTATCAGCCTGGCACTAACCTTTCCAGCAGCAGTGATGGCAGCCTATTATCTACTTCTGCAGACCTATGCCTTGCGTTTGGAGGCCATTCTGAATGCCATCTTGCTTTTCTTCTATGCAGTTGAGCTGTTACTGGGTATTCTCACCCTAGCCTCTTTTTCCAGGTACTTTTCTTGTAAATCACTTTGATTCTTGAAGTCAGGTTTTGATTGTATGTTGCCTTTACATTTTAAACACAGTGATTGGTTTCCCTTCCCAGTGGCTTGAGGAAAAGTTAATACTTCCCATATTTGGAATCCAATAGAAGTTGTCTCCTTATAAAGAGAAATAGAAGAGCCCAATTATGGGGGAGCAAGGCTGTTGAGTATATTGAAATAAGGAGAAGGAGAATAATGAGTGACCAATTCCATAGGGCAGAACTGACAAGAACAGGTGAGCAAATAAAGAACAAACAAAACTACCGAAAATATGAGGATTGCAGCCATTTCAGCAGTAAATCACACTTATCATAATATATAGAGTTGTATCAAAAATGAAGTCTTAGAACTGCTGAGGATTACTGCACAACTGCAATTGCATTTCACTGTCTTCTTCAGACTGGTGGATGTAAACATTTTTTCACAAGAATTAGATTTGCTGTTTGGTTGATTGGTTTCCCACCTATCCTGGATAAGCTAAGCGGTGTCTGGAGTTGCCATTACTAACATCTTTATGTTACACCTTTCTTGTTTTATTTATTTATCCTTTCAGTTTGGATTCATACTGAGAATCTGTGTGGGCTGTGCTGTATGAAACACTTCATGTTTAAGGGAAGCTGCATGAAACCCCATTTCCATGACTGGCCCAGGATGAAGTTGGGATCTGGTTTCTTGGGCAAGATGAAAGAAGATACAGTTCCACTCTTTGCTTCAGGCATGCTGAGGCACTGGCCTAAGAGCAGAGGTGCCAGTCCTAGACTGAATGGCCTAAGCATGTCCTATCGTCATCCATGTATCCCTCCTAGAACATGACAGTTGACCCACTTGGACTTGGTGGCATTGAAGACTGATTTTGCAGGTCTCCAGACTGTGGATCCATGAACCTCAGCCAATGCCTAGATTTTGCCTGCAAGTGCTGTGCTCTTCAGATTCCTCAAACGGACACATTCTGACACTGACTCAAGTCTTTAGCATGTGTACAATGACTCTTGTTAGGACACCTTTGTCAATTCTATTTGTTACAGCCTGTGCCATGCTCTTAAGAGGAGAGGGGTGTCCATTCCCTAAAAATCAGTATTGTTATTGTTGTGTATTGGCAATTTGTGATACATGATTTTTCTTCAGTGCTCTTGACATAAATACTTATTTTTCAACTACTGTAGCTATGTTATGGCTCTAAATATGAGAGATATGCTGAGTATGGGGAACTGTTATGCTTTTATAAGGTTAGTGAGCCATCTGCTGTCTTCTTCTGTCTACAGCCAATGAAAGATGTATACATGGCTGAGACTTTCAGCAGTGTGTTTAAGTTCAAGGAACATTTTGATTTAACCAAGTTTACATGAAAGGGCCCTGGACTGGATCAGCCCCAGCAATTTAATTTCATACCTTGCACACATGGCTGATCAGTTTTTTGTTGTTGTAGTTGTTGAAGTCATATTTCCCTTATTTTGGTATTGGGGATGGGAGGACAAATTGTTATAGTAAAATTACCAATGGGAGTGGAAGCAACATTTTTATCCCATTTTTGCTGAACTTCTGAACATTATTTGTATGTTATGTCTCTTGGAGGTTTTACATCTCTGTTTCTTAAAAAAGAAACAATCATGTTGCCAACAAGTTGCCATTTCACTACTGAATTTCAGTAGTATAATTTTAGCAGATGCACAGTGAGGTAACATCTGGGCCAGGAGTTGCCTATCCCTGCATTAAGGTACCTTTGAATATAGTTAGATACTAATATTTCAAGGACAAACTGTTACGAGTGAAGTGCAGCTTCAGGTTCAAATGTGCATTAGTTGATTGATTGACTGATTGATTATGTGCCATCAAATCATTTTTGACTCCTAGCGACCATATAAATAGATTTTCTCCATGACAATCTATCCCTAATAAGAGGCATTAAATGAGCACACACAGCAGAAGTTTATTGGAGGTCAGAACCTCTCAATAATGGAACAGAGTCGCGTTAGATGCATCAGAAGCCCCAGCCCATAATCGGCCTCCTTGCTCAGCCACAAGACATTTGTTGTTGGAGGCTTTGATTATAAGACAACTGGAGGATACAAATTGGAGGCTGAAATTGGTAGGATGGTCACTGGTTACCAGGATTTGCCCATCTTTATCCAAGGCCCAATATTTGCTACCTGGCAGAGTTAGTGGAAGGAAGGAATAAAGTTAGGGGAGATAGGCAAGCTTTTCAATTTCTTGATTTTAAGGGTGTTCTGATTATTAAAGGAATCATGGGTTGTAGCCATATTTCTTGTAAGCACCAAGTTTAATGTAAAGGTAAGTGGGCACCTTTTGGGCCTCAAAGAGCCTCATCTCTTGCTAGATTGGGAACTACACACACCCCTCCTTAGCAGGGCTTTGCTTTTTGCCAGGATTCTTGCTAAGGAACATGCTTTCTACATGCCACTATTAGTAATCTTACGCAAGATTGCTGGGAAAGAGTTGGGAAAGCGCTATCGGTTTCTCCTTCCCACCAGCAAGTTGGCTCTAGCTGCCATGATGGCTCTTGCACTGCCATGATATTAGCTGCAGGAAATCTTGAGGTTTGCTGAAGGAAGAGGAAGCAGTGAGAGAGAATTCCCCTACCCCCAGTAATCCTGTTTAAGAAGACTGCTGGTACAGCAGGAAAGTAGTGTTCTTAGGCAAGGAGGCTCATCTTGCTGCATTTCCAACAGTCCTAAAGATTTAACAGGAAGAACATTTAATCCCTAATGCTAAAATTGTGGCTGAAAAGTGGACAGAACCTTGAGGGTCTTCATTGGCTGCATTTACTATATCCCATGGATCGTTCATATAATGTGAGGAAATAATCAGTACCATTGGAAAGTGTGAACAAGTTCTGGGCTCACTAGGCTAGTGTCTGAGTAAAATGAAATGGTCTATAAGATGCCTTTTTTTAATCGGGGAAGGGAAACAGTGGCAGGATCATTTCCTGTCTTCCTTCAATTTAGGATAGAGAAGGTGGGGATACATTTATGTCTACAGAGCCTCCTCCCACAACCTGGCCAGCCCGCAAAGGGGTGAATGTGTGTGAAATGGCAGTACATCATGTTTCCCTCACAATGCAGATTATCTGGGGGTCTCCTGTTCTGAGTGAGCTTAGTCAGGCTACAATATACTAACCAATTTGAAAATTGTAGTAGCCTTCCTCGTTGAGTGACAGGCTGCTGAACACATAGTCAACACAGTTCCCTTCCAATCGCCTCATGTCAGAACTCAAACCAACATAGCCAGCGTCACTGTGCAGGACCAGTAGAGGCCGGTTCACCAGGATTAGCAGGAAATCTTCGCTTTTACCTGTAAGCGCAAAATAATCCTTTTGACAGTGTTCATCTAGGTCTGCAGCCACCTGCCGGTGTTCCAATAAAATGTCTTTTTTACCCACCAGATAAAAGTACCGAAAGTACCAGAATGAGCATCCTAGAAAGGTTGGCTGCTGGGAGTATTTTAGAACAATGGCCAGTGCTGATAGTTCCTCCCTCTGGTCTTCCTAACATAAACCACAGTATTGACTCTGGCCTAGAAAGCCTTTGATCATTGGGTGTTCAGATTTCAAAGGCACTGCTCCCCTTGTGTTTCATCATTATTATTTTTATATATCTAGTGCACTTGTTCCATTAAGTTCATTATCAAGCAACAAATTGAAAGGTGTTTCTGCTAGAAGCACCTAAACATGGCTTCTGGGGGGCAGTGTTATACCCAAAGACTGGTAGATGTCTTGTTACCTTCTCCAAGAAAAGGGAGGAACCTGCTAGAGATCCAACTCCTGCTGTTTCACAAAGGACATGCCATGAAAAAACATGGGGCTTGGTTTCCCGTGTTAGTTTTAAATCTAAGATCAGCCTAGAGTTGCTGTCCATGAAATTTTTTGACTTGATGGATTTAGAGAGGGAAAGAAATGTTGCTGCTTCTTATTAAAAATAGCAACCAATAGTTTAAAAAGAGCTGAGTCCCATTTTATAAGCTCAGCACTATCTAACATTAACTTTCAGCTGACAACCTGGGATTTCTTTTCCACTGTTTGTCCATGATTTAATATTGCCCATGCTGAGGCCATGTATTTGCAATGAAAGCTACTGACCAACTTATACCTGCAGCTTTGGGGATGGCAAGGAGCTGTCCATTGGGCCGCATAGACACATACTTGTCTCCCATGCGAAGCAACACTTTCTGATCCTGATAGTGGAGTTCAAACCAAACGTTTTTGTCCTGTTTGGTGCTGCTAATGATACAGTCATTGGGGCCCTGCAGGAGAAGGAGTGGATTTACTGGAAAGGACTCAGTACTTCTACCTTACCCAATCTAGAAAAAACTGGGGTCATACCTAACTCTGAGTTTCAAAGTTAACTTTCAGTCCTAGCTGTTTGGCCCTGCATTAAAAATGCTGATTTTACATGTCAGCCTGTATCTATATACGTAAACCATCTCCCAGCTCCAAAGTTGGCCACTTCACGTAAGATGATTGAAGATAATGGCTGTGTTTGCATCACATTAAGCTGCAGTGCATTTGGTTTAGCTTATTGTGTTCTCCAAATCTAGACGCTCGGTCTATTTGAGGTAAGTGTGATTTTAGTCTTGGTTTCCATGACCCAACTGCCAGCCGGACATGATCTTGTATAGCTTGGCTTGAAGCGCTGTGTGAATACACAAATCACTTGCTTCATACCTTGTGCTAACCTATAATGCAGCTTGCTAGGTTTTTATTTAGTATGTTGCATGAACCTAGAAATTATGGTCTATGTTGGTGCGTTGCATGACTCAGCCTTTGTGTCTACTGTGTAGACACACACACACACACACACATTCTGTGATTACTATTTACAGTATGTGTTAGAACTGTCACTCAAAGAATGGCAACATAGGGCACTACTTCCTAGTTTCAATTTCTAGTTTCAATTCTGGATGGAAAGACAGGTCTGAAAGAAACTCAAAGTCCTAGTCCTAGGAAAAATTCAGTCTGTCAGAGTGACAGGTTTTGGAATAAGTATTTATTACCAGGAAAGATAAAGAATAGTAGCCCACCATATAAGTTACTATAAGAGAATACTATAAAGAAGGGTAATCTTAACGGGATTTGTTTACAACTCTTTTAAAGTTATGTAATAAAAATTAATTTGATTCTTTGTTCAAACATTAAAATACTTTCTCCATATCCCACCAAATCATATCACCTCATAGACAGAAATAATAGAGAAAAACACAAGAATGTTCAAATCAGAAAAGGGGTTGGGTGTGGCAGCAAAATCAATAGATCCTTTTGAGAACTTCCTAGATTACTGGGATTAGAGAATCATCAAAGGACACTTATGCCAGTTATGGTATGCCACATATACTCAAGACACATCTCTTATTTCAGGATTTCTTGAGGTGGCAGACGTCTAGGATGTTCTCAGCTGTTGGTTTTGATACAGTGACAATTTTGTGAATGTTTTCATGAAACACAGACAAATATAGCTCAATCTCCCTATTGACATTTAAATGGAACTCAGGGTTCTGAGAGCCACAATTGTGTAACTTACTGAAGTTGTAGCTGAGCACTCATATGGGGAATTTAAATAGTACAATCTGATTAACCAATTGTGTGAATAAAGCAAGGAAGGAAAGAAGAACTACTGACAATGACTACCTTTCATTCCCAAAGGGCAAGTGTCATGACATGCTTAGCAAACAGATTGAAGTAGCCGATTCTTCCAGGTCTATCCCCATTCTGGGAGTGTGCAGATGGACTCACCAAGGACATGTATGCGCCACAATGGCCACGGAAGCAGACCTTCTTTGTGGTATCATCAAACATCAGTTGGAAGATCTCTGTGTTCCCTACTGCCATTGCATTGGCATAGAGGTCAGCACCTGCGGAGCAGTAAAGCAAGTCAAGACTCATTATGGTTTCAGCCGAGTGAATTAAGACTATTGTCCCTTGCTGTCTGAAGTCAAGCTACAGCAGTGCTCAACTGTATTGCAAAAGGATAGTAACAAGAGACTGGGGAAAGCATTTGTAATACTTCCAAGATCCTGCCATTCTTAGGAAAACCCTAATGATCTGTTCTTCATGACATTCTCTTGGAAACTATGTTGTTTAAGTAAGCAAAATTTTAGATGTAACCCTAGATTGATCAAGACATGTTCCTTTATCAGTTTCC